AAAAAAAAAAAAAAAAACAAATGATTAAAAGTTTTCTATATGATCCGACCAAATAAGGGAAAGAAAAGAAGAAAAAAATCTGCTTTCTTGATTAAAGAAGAGGAAATAAAGCTCACAGGCAGTGCTACTTAGGGTGCTATATATCTCGTGGATATTTATTCGATCAGAAGTAAAAGAGACAGCTAGATCGATGTTGTTCCAAGAAGAATCCGTATAACCGAAATCCAATTCCAAGATGCATTCAAAATCAATCAATAGCATACACTAACCACAATAAATGATAGTGAGATTGCGGATTATGAGACAGCCTCAATGGCACTGCCCAACGGCCAAGCAGCTTCAACTAAAGAATTTTGGTATTTAACTTGTTTCACCAACGTAATCTCTTGCCACGGATCAAGCCCTGCCAAACAAGCATTACAATAGTAAATGGTGATGAACACCATTCCTTCAAAGAAAAGGAAAAAAAAAAAAAAAAGACACTGTGTTGTAACTGAATGCAGCAGTAGCTACTCACCAAAGCCATCAACGAGCAATGTAAATTGGTAAACGAGGTCCATGCACAGGTAAGGCAGGTTATCTGGTTCAACTTTATGGTATATAGACTTAGCACCATCCAAACTTGTCTCACAAGCACGTTTAGCTGCATCTTCAAAATCGGCTGGATGAACTTTTGCAACAGCCAAGCTTGGATCAATAAAGCCAGCCTACATAGTGTATATATATTATTAAAATGACAAACATTAAGTTAACAAGATGTGCTGCCGCAGGTAAAGGTGATAAATTAAACGTTTTCAAGGATCTTATTAGAAAAAGGTGAAATTTACCTCGGCAGCTCTATCGAAAAAGAATGAAGCAACAAACAAATTCTTTTGGCCATCCCCTCCACCACCATTCCACACTCCCCCGAACGTGCATTTCATGTGGGTACATAATGATTCATTGACTTTCAAAGCCTTGATAGCTGTTTCCCGACACTTGCTAAGGCTGGAACCTGATGGCAAAGCTGAGGCCTTGTATACCCCTTGGCCATATTTGTAAGAACCTATATAAAATAAATGTATAAGACTTCTGTGAAAATGGAATGCTGATGAATATGATCTCTCTTTTCCATATTTTGTTTTATTGTCTTATACTTCTCAGCTTATTTTCCTTTTGTAAAATATTTGGCATATAAACCGCAATCAGTATTTACCAAATGGTTATTTTTGTATATGACAAGACAATCCATGAAAAGGTCACAATAGCGATTGAAATTGCATTATCGCATTGTCCTGGATACATTTTAAGGCATTAAGACTTGTATATGAAATGTTTTCTACTATAAGAAAAGGAAAGAACATGCATAGTAACTTCCTTCATTCAACTACAAACAGAGGGAAAGCAAGAAAGAAAGAAAGAAAGAAAAGTCTGACAGGGTAATATGAACTTGGGTTACAAGTTTCTATATTTATTTCTCTCTCTTATTAATAGCTCATACTTATCGGTCAGGTACTAGATGTAGCCTTTAAACCGGACAAGATGCCTATTATAACGTTCTAGTCAAAATGTAGCATGCATATTAAAACATCTCTAGTCTAGGACACATGCCATTGATATGATTGGGCTACAACTTCACTTTTAACCAATTAGTACATATTCAGTGAAAGGGATCAGCGTCACATATAACATGGATGACTTTGCACCATTCATATGCAAGGTAACAAATTGCACAATTTATGGTCTTGACTCTTGACCCAGGGCCATGCTGCTGTATGCACTAAGACAAAGATACAAAAGTACCAAATAACAAACATGGAGAGCCAGGTTACTATGAAAAAGAGATGTGAACTCCTGTAGCCTTTCCGTTGACACCAGATGGGGATTCCATCGCCGCTGTATGACATGTGTGGATAATGAATGCAAGCCCGAGGAAATCCCCGCTACCAATTCATCAAGATAGCGACTAAGATTTAGAGCGAATCTACCCGCACAGCGCTCTTTCGGTCGGGAATTCATCATCTAGTTGATATATAAGGATATCAACGTCATGTTCATGTTTTGTTAAATATCTTTTCTGTCATTTGATACTCTCAGTTAGTTACTCATCTTCATAATCTTTACTATTATCCTATGTACAGATTACTTTAGAGTCCATGTCAGACATTTGCCCCAGAATATAGGTGTTGGATAAACTGCATTACAGCAGATGATGTGAAGTCAATCACATTAGAAAAGTTTGATGCAAATCATTGGTGGAAAAAAGATGTAAGCATCATATATTTATACAAAAGCATGAAATGGGTTCAAGCACTTAAACAACACCGTTGGATGCATTGTACTACCCACTCCCATTTTTTAACAAGAACATGAACCCCATTGGCTGCATGGTATTTTCTACTCAATTCACACACAAATCTGATCCCATTACCTTGCCAACTGCTGCATTTTCATCCATCACTTCTTAGGAGAACATAAATTCACTTTATATGCAGAGTCCAAAGGAAAAGCAAGAAGGGAGATGGGGGGGTAGAATATTGAGAAAACAAAGCAGCACTCAACAAAGGAAGCTTGTACACACCTTCATAACCCCCCAATATACACGGATTGCCATGTTCTTCATCAACCTTCAAAATCTCTGCTCGAGCAGCCAGTAAACCATAGAGCAGGTAACTGGGAGTACGAAACATAGACAGCAAAGCAGAAAATAATAGGAAATATGTTATTGATTTATAATACTAGAGGCTTCTCAATAAAATAAAAGAAAGAGCAAAAAAAAAAGATTGATGATTGAGGAAAAATAAAAAACATTCCAAGAAATAAGCCAAATAGGAACAAGAGGAAAAAAAAAAAAAAAAAAAAAAAAAAAAAAAAAAAAAAAAAAAAAAAAAAAAAAAAAAAAAAAAAAAAGGAAAAGAAAGGCATTGCCATTACATTTGGTATAAATATTATGAAAGAAAAACTGAGATGATACAACAATGTGCTTCTACATTCAGAATGAACAGCATGTATGAAATTGACAACACCGAGGATATCATACCTGTGAACATAGAGATAATATTTCCTTCCCTTGAGATACATTTCGTGCACATATGAGTCTTCGCCACTAGATACCTTTGGAGCTTTTGCAGCATCTGACTCCGAGATAGCATACGCCATTTGTACAGAACCACCCCCAAGATCAACCACTCCAACAGTATCAGAGTATTGTTTGCCCAAACTTCCCAATAGATAGTTAATGGTCACCTATAAAGATATCTCAATATCTGAATTAGTTCTTAGCCAAATTCTGGCAAGAAGATGAGAAAAAGCAAATTAGAACTAATTCATTATTATGCAATGATGGCATCAGGCAACCGTGTTACCTTACTATCTTGCCATAGTCTATACATACTAATTTTGCAACTACGGGTTACTGGTTTCGGCAAGGGAGACTGCCGCACCTGAATATACTTTAATGTCTAATGTACGACAGTAGAGAATATTTGATGGTTTTATAGAGCTACAATTCTTAAAACCACTTACTGCCTTACATCTAAATTTCTAATGTGAAATATAGGCTAATTGGAGTACTGGGCTACTAAAAAAGGCAACAGATTCCATTTTATTTGGCTCCAGGTCCCACTCTTAGTATACGCAACCACAAATAAGTTAAATATTAATGACTATTTATATGCACTCATTATGTATGAGTTCTTGGACATACAGTAAATCCTTGTTGTAAAACAGATTTATCATTTAAAGATCAACCTAGATTAATAATTGGAATTCTTATATATTGGAAACACATAAAAATCATCAGTACATACGAGGAACGAACACGGAGAAGTATATCTTAGCATACCCATTGATAGGCGCCTTCCTGAGTTCCATCCAAAACAGTAACCCACTCCGCCTTGGACTTAAGAGAGCTTTTATTCTTCAAAAAGTCCCTAACCTATGAAAGAGATTAGAGGTGTAACACTACAGTGATTTTGGAAAAGGGAAAAAGAATAAAATGGTGTATGAACTTTTGGAGCATTACTGCTTGTAAAATCCTGTCCGATGTATCGCCTTCCAATTGTCGTAGGCCTGCAGTAGCCTGCATGAACATCAGTAGTGTCATTTAATTTTAGCAAATGCAAACAAATGACAGAATTTCACAGCCACTTGTGGAAAAATGACTAAAACCCCTACCCCAACTCTGACTGGTGTGCTAGACCTCAGCTCCACAGGAACCGCTGCTTCTGCTTTCTCAAGAAGCTCTAATAGTGAATTTGCAGCTGCCTCGGGATCTGTTGCATATCCACTCAGACCTGGTTTTCTCTACAAGGTGAAAGTTAAACCAAATGAATAAAAAGACACAGATATATCAATGTAAAGTTGAAACAGGGCAACAAACACATGTGTGAACATAAAGGTATATATACATATATATATATAAATATATATATATATATGTATATACATATGTGTGTGTGTGTATGTATATGAAGAGAGACAGAGGCTCATTGAGAAAAGATGGACTCTGGGATGTTCATTAAAACTGTTTGCTTTCACAAATATATATTACAGTTTGTTGACAGAAATTAAGGTCCTGTTTAGTGTAATAAAATGAAGATTTTCAAGCCCACGTGTGGTTATTAGTGTTGTTTTATAATAGCTTGGTTCAACATCCCTACCCATCTCCTTTCTAAGTACATCCTCAATTGCATTGTGTC